TTAGGAGGATCTATGAATTAAGAACAGGACCACAGTGGGACCAGAGTCCTTATGTCCTCTTAGATGGATGATGGAAAAGATGGCATGTGTAACCACATCTATATAAATAGATAGTAACAGTGCATTGGCCCCAGGGCCCGATCCTGCAGGGGTCATTCGGAATATAGATTTAATTTAATTAAAGAGCTCTGAGAGAGACATGTTCCACCAAAACCAAATGGTCACCTTAACTCTGCACCTCTTCAGCTGATAGTTTTAATTTAACCTCTGAGATCAAACAAATCACATTAGACTAATTCACTGGAAGTAAAGAAAGCCAAAGGGCCGACGCAAAGAGCCCTTAAGCACCACTCTTTGGCTCTGCTGGCAATATGAAGAGAGGTTTTATATAAAATCTATTTTACACAATAACAAAATGTCATTCTCATCAAAACAGATTTAGATAAACATCTGACTGTTCTCTGATTTCTGGGTTAAACCTAAGCAGCCAGGCTAAAAGGATTCATTACTTAAAGAATTCAATACAATTTATCACATGACAATAAAATATTAGTTAAATAACTAAATGTTTATAAGTAAATTCAGCAGTTAAGTTATTTATGCATTTTCAGGGGCAGCTGTGGCTGAGATGTAGCTTTGAACAATTTAATTCACATTGTTCCAGAAAAAAAAATAGACATGAGAGTAAATTTCTGAAATTGGGAGTTATGACTTAAAAACAAAAACATATCTTTATAAATATCATACAATGACATTTAAAAAAAAATGGATTTCTGTTGTTCAAACAAGATCTTTTCAATGATACAATTATGGAGAATGAACATATTTGTTTTTAGATTAAAGCAAAAATATCATATAATTGTTAAAATTCAGATTTTACAATATAAATAAATGATAAAATACATTTTTTAAAAGTAGAGGATCATGATGATGTGATTTAGAACTTCGGATACTTTCACACATCTAAATTCTGAATGTTTTAAACCAAAACCTACAGTAGATGGACGATTTACAGAATCAGAACCTCCGAATCTGTGTTAAAGGAGCAGCTGTTCTCTGGCTGCCTGTACCAGGGGCCTCCCCATGTGTTGGGCCCCTGAGTCCATGCCTAGTAGGTCTGATTAGTGATTGCTGCCAGAATTCAACAGAGCACAGTTGCTCCTTCAGTTTCTGGGGTTGAGCCCCTGTATCTAAAAAAAAAGGCAGCATTAAGTTCAGTCTGAGGTCTGAAAGTGGTTATTTTAACGCCGTCATTGATCAGCTGCAGTTTGTGCTCAGCACTTTAAACCTCTTGGCTCCAGAGAGCCACTCCGCCTGAAGAGCTCTTCATCATTTAGGTTCAGAGAATGATTGCAGCGCTGCCCCCGACTGTACAACTGTTACACTGATGGTCTGAAACCGCGGCAGTTGGTGTGAGCGGTTGGCTGAAATATGGTGATTAATGGATTAAATGGACCAGCCGTAACCATGGAAACACTGCTGACACTAACTCAGGCTGGCTGATGGTCTTTCTACTTTTTTTTATTTTGAATGTTTATATCAGAAGTCTGAAACTTTATCCTCGTAGGGTTGTTTTTGTGTTTCAATAAGGTTATTAGCAGATCTCTGTAGAACCCGTCTGCATGTTGCGACGCAAATACAGCCAATTCATTCAGGTGTTGGAACAGGAGATTATTAAAAAAAAATGTCCTACAACAGCTCTATAGGACTCGAAGTTGGAAAACTCTGGTTTAGCTTAAAAAAAATCTCTCAGCATCTGAGGTGCATCACCTTTATCTGCTGCGGGATCCAACTCCATGGTAACCAGATACGCAGATATTACACAACATAATGTTTTGATTGTTGCTTTCTATCTTTTTACAGTAGGTTAGGTGGAGAAACAGGGGGACAAATCCAGTGGAGGTTGGTTTCATCCGTAGGGAATATTCCAGGATGTCTTGATGTTCAATCGAGATTTCTGCTGACAGGAAGTAATGACTGAAACCAGAATAATTGAAAGAGCCTGATGCCAGATCTAGTCCTGGTCCGGATTATAGAACCAGAACTAAAGAAAGGGAAAAGGCAAGGTTTCTCACAGCTTAATCTAACAGAGCAAAGACCTGAGGAACGTCTCCACTCAAACCAAACTGCTGAGGCAGACTTTTCTAAACGTCCGTCATTTGGAATCCTGCAGCCTGAGTCCTGATCCGGCTCTCTGCTCTTGTCCTACATCGTGAAGGTAATGTGGTCCTGATGCTGTAAATTGCTGCGTGCTGTGGATGCTGTAAATATGAGATGTGACGGGGGGCAGCGTGGAGCTGGCCGCTGCAGTGCCTGATGTTTAATTCATTTGTTGACAGAGCGCAGATCTGCTCAGCCTCGCCTCATATTTGATGCAGAGCGCTGGAGCTGAATATCAGATGAGGAGTGCGAGATGGTGCACAGGTCTGCATGGACAAGTTGACAGCAGTTTGTTGTTGGAGCTGGAGTCAGATGTGAAGGAAATGAGACGTAAATACCGACATGTAACCCATGATCGCAGCTCGCTCCCTCTGGTTCTGTTTTATTTTTCCACAGGTTCAACTTAACCATTAACAGCTGGAATGAACGACATGATGACCCCTTATATTCAGGGCCAGCCATGATCATGTTTACCAGCTTCCCATTATGGGTTGCCATGACAACCCACAGCTGTTTCTCTGCACTCCATGCTGGTTCCCACATGATCCCAGTGCTTTTATCATCCCAGTCGTAGAGTCAGAGGTGATGTTGGTCAGAACTGATGAACCTCAGATGATGCCTGCTTCCTGCATGGTTCAAAGGAGGTTTTATCTGCCGTTCTTATCTATTCCCTTGTTTAAAAGGAAAAGTCCGGTCATACTCAGAATTCAACCTTCTGAAAGTACTTTAAATATGAAATTATTACATAGTGTTCAATAAATGATAAGAGTTTTTAATTAAGAGTGATTTTCATTTGAATTTGTTTTACTGGAGACATACATGTTTTACAGAACCTACCGGTTTGTGACGTCACAGTGCGGTATCGGCTGTTGATCAAGTCCCAGTGCTGTATCTGGTGTTTTTCACAATGCACTATTATCCAAGTCATCTTGAAAACATTCTTCTTGGGAATTTTGGCTACATATTACGTGTTTTTTCCCTGTCAAGAAGTTCGATGGCAAATCCTCCCACCGCAATGTTGGCAATCCAACGACGAACCCGTCCGTGGAGGATCGTGAATGGGAACGGTGAAATAACTAAATTTTTGTTCACTTTTACCCGATGTATTACAACATCCAACTGCCATGCACGTGGGCATTGTCAGTTCAACTATAGCTCTCGAGTATTTCAATCGTGAAGGCCTCTCGAAATCTTAAATAATGGTTCTTGATTGCAGATGTGTCGCTTGTAAAGTGGGGAGAATGGCGCTAGGCTTACCGCAACGTGACATGACTGCTGGAAGATGTCAGGAGTGAGGTGTTACTATATTTTTGCAAAAATAGCTGGTCCTGGACTCAGTGACCGTGTTTTCCTTTAAATATTTGCTGATTGACGCACATATCTGTGAATGTTTGCTCAGCTGCTAGTTGGAGCTCCTATTCTCTGACTGATGAGGGGTGTTCAGAGTTCATTCTCCAGAAATGCCACAGTAGCTCATTAGTACAGGCGGTCTATCAATAATAATTAATTACCAGTTCCTTGAATTTGATGATAAAATGTTCTACCTTTTCAGTAAATAACACAGAGCAACATCCAGAAAATGCTTTGTTCCCTACTAGCAAAAAAAAAAAAAGAGAGAATTAAAGTATTTTCCTTAGTTTAGATCTGCGGCTGGTGGAGGTGGATCTACAGAAAAAAAAAGATCCACACAAAGCTTGAAGCACTTCAGCATATGTCAGCTTGATATTTTTCTACGAAAATTCCACATTGATGATTGTGTCGACTAATCACTGCAACTGTAGTGCTGTGACTCACAGAGGGGAATTTCTGGCATTAGTTGTTCCAGTTAGCCAGTGGAGTACAACATCATCACTTTAAAAGTTTTTTTATATTGTTTTGATTGGGTTCAATAATGAAGCAGAAAACAGGACCCAGGTAGAGGAAGCTATGGATAGATCATCTGCATATTATTGAGAAGAGAAGGTCTGGGCATGTATTTCCTTTTGTTCTTTCTTTTCATGGGTACTGTCTTGGTTAGAGGTGTCAATGAAGTTTGTTCCTGTAAATTCCCCTCATAGGGATGGAGTGCAAATGTTTTTTTGACCATCCCACTATTTATTTTGTGCCTCACAAAATAAATTTGATTACTTGATTAATTTGATTTAATTTGATTACTAAGTTAAGTTGGGTTAAGCAGTAAAACCCTCTGTCGTTCATATAGATTACAAACTTTCTCTTAAGACATTTATGTTTGATTGTTTGGTAGAACCAGCCTTTGTATCTTGAAGGATTTTTGTAAAGCTTTCTGTTGTATAAAATGACGCCTTTGTTGTTGTTTCATTTCAAAGAGTTGCAGCAGCTCTTTAACCTTTTAACTGCTTGCCAACTTCTAAAAGCACTGCCTTTAGCCACAGAGACATTCACCAAGCAGGAACTGGTTTGGGAAACTTACTAGCTCATGGTGTCCCTTTCCCTTCAACGGATCTGATCATCTCAGCTCCCATATTCGTCCTCCCCTTTAACCTTAAACAGGGCTTGTCTTCTTAAATCAACCAACTCACTGCAGTAGCTTGGCTGAATGACATTTCTTGGAAGGTGCAGCATCTCAGAGTAAAGAAGATTGCAGAGACAGGCAGACATAGGAGTTTCATGAAATGTCAAAGAGCAGAGGCAGAGCAGGGTTCTTCTGCTACGTTTCTTCTTTTTACGTCTTTGGTGACTTTTAATGCAGCTTTAAACCTTTTGAAAAAACTAAACCTAAACCTTTCTTGAATTTTGCTGCACGGTTATAGCTTATTGTCTGACTTTCTCCCACCGGAGTTCAACAATATGTTTTATAAATGGTGTTTTTATCTCCTCAGGTGGAATCTGCATTGCTCAGTCACTGAAGATCCCTCACGACCGCAAACCTTCAGACTTCGATATAATCATCCGTCAGCTGCTGGATACCCGCTACGCCAGAGCTGTGGTCCTGTTCGCCTCTGATGAAGACATCAGGTAGTTGGACCATGTGATTTCACGTCACAATAAATGCTAGTTATTGATCAGATAAAAATCAATACTATTTTTAATCATCCCTTTGTGTTAATCCTCAGTTCATTTATTTCGCCTTTTAAGGATGTTTTTATGTATCCATATTTCAGGTTTTATGATTTTATGGCTTTTATGACTACTTTAGTTCATTGTTTATTGCTTTGTTTGTATGAGAAATATTAAAGTACGCTGGATATGATTTATTTCTCTATGTTTTTTACCCAGCAACATTGAGTAAAAAAAAATTAGATAAATGTTTGGAGAAACTTAAACATCCCACTGGTCTTCCAGGCTTCTGTAGAAACTTAGTTATGAGTTAGAGGAGTTCCTTAGGTTGTAATCAAACTGGGGGGTTTTTTTGGGCTGCAGGGGAATTCTGAACGCCACGAAGCGAGCGGATCAGGTGGGTCACTTCCTGTGGATAGGCTCTGACAGCTGGGGGGCCAAGAACAGTCCCATCCACCAGCTGGAGGAGGCTGCTGTCGGAGCCATCACCATCCTGCCCAAGAGGGCCACCATCAATGGTGAGTTTATTCCCATTATTCATCTGTCCATGCATTCATCTATCAAACTATCCGTCCATCCATGCCTCCATCCATCCATCCATCCATCCATCCATCCATCCATCCATCCATTTATCCATTTATCCATCATCATCATAGGGCGACAGTGGTGTCTGATGTAGGAGTTTGCCCTGCAATCGGATGGTTGTCGGTTCAAGATCCAGTTTTAAGTGTTGTTGTGTCCTTGGACAAGGTACTCCATCTATATTGGCTACTGATAGCTGTTAGAGGGCCCGATGGCGCCAATGTAGGCCAGCCTCGCTTCTGTCAGCTCGCCCCAGGCCAGCTGTGGCTACAATGTAGTTTGCCACCATCAGTATGTGAGTATGTGGGTGAAAGACTAAATATAGTGTAAAGCACTTTGGTCAAGTACAGGCCATTTACCATCATCCATCCATCCATCCATCCATCCATCATCATTCGTCCATTAATCCATCTATTGATTCAATTCAGTTTTTTTATATAGTGCCAAACACATGTCATCTTAAGGCACTTTACTACACTGCAAAAACAATCCAGAAATAAGTAAAAAATGGCTTAAATTAAGTATATTTAGCCTTAATTTGAGCAGGTAAATAAGATGATTTGCCAATGGAATGAGTATTTTCACTCTTAAAATAAGATAGTTAGATAATATTTACTTGAAATAAGACGATAAAATAGTTTTTTCTTATTTTAAAAGGAAATTGTCTTGTTCCATTGGCAAAGTGTCTTACTTACCTCCTCAAATCAAGGAAAAACACACTTATTTTAAGAAAAAATAACTTATTGAGATTTATATTTTTTGCAGTGTATTCACCATATCATCCAGTGAAATTGATTCAAAGTTTTCTATCTAAAGAAAACCAGTTGATTGCATCGACTCATTGACTTGAATGCAATCCCTCACACTAAGCATGCTTGTAGCGACAGTGGAGAGGAAAAACTATCGATCCATACATTCACCTATCTCTTGATCTCATGTATGTTAAAATTTTGATTTTGTTCTCTAAAAGTTGTTTTTCGGAAAAATTGACTAAATACTGTGTTCCCAGAAGAGACCCTGTGGAGCACCAGACAGCAGGGCTTTTTCAACCTTAGGTATGCAGATCAGCCCTGTGTCAGTAGTCTAGAAACCTGAGGATTAGACTCTGAATGACACAGAGAATTTTCTCCCCAGAGTCGATTCAGACATTTTTTTTTCTCTATTGAATATCAAATTAATTGGAGGTCATGAGCCGGTTAATCGGCTCCTTTCTCATTTCTCCTGTCGTGTTCTTTCTGACACGCTCTTATCTCTGCTTCTCCGCCAACGTTCCCTGCCTCCTGAATAAGCACAACTGCTGAAAAACCCAATCAGCAGTGGGAACATCCACTCCGGATTTGCTGTGAAACTAAAAGGCACACGACTCTTTTGATGCTGATTATGGGACATCATTATTCCGCCTCTGTCAGCACTGCTGCGTCTGCAGGAAGCACACATGGACGTTTTTTTTTATTGAACTACCGACACAAAAGTTTGATTTTTAATGTTGACATTTCCACTGAGGATGAGGAATTAATTTAGGTCAGTGTTTAAATATTTTTTTTGACAGGCTCCACCGCAGCTCTTATTTAGACCAAGCTCTGTTTTAACCTTTAACTCAATCAGCACATATGGAACAAGGTGACATTTCACAGCGCTACAGATGAGCAGACAGACGAACAAAGAAGAAATGTGCTGCAGGTCGGCTATATGTGTGGGTTGGCTCTAACTCAGTAGGAGGCAGGAAGTTTTTGGAGGAAGCTGGAGCTTCTCCAGGGCATCACAGAGAAACTCAACACTTCTAACCTTTTTACAGATACAATGAGGAAAATGTGAAGCAAAGACCAAAAGACAAACTATTCTATGACTTTTTAACCTTTAAAAGGAAGTAATCTCCTGAAGCATCCTGGCATGTCTTCTGTATCCGTGCAGCTTTACCTTCAGCAGCAGAGTCTCTATGTAGAGTGGCTTCTAACACCAAGCAGAGAGTTGCTGCACAGTTGTGTTCACGAGTTTAAAGGAAGCGTGTGAGTTTCTGAAAAATGCTAAGAAACAGCTTGAATATTAAAAGATCTGCAGGAGATGTGAGGATTCTCTGCTGTAGCTGCATCTCAAATCACATGCGTCACTTTTTAAACCAAAGGTTCTACAAAAACCTTCACTGGCTCAGTCTTTACAGATGAGGATTTTGGGTAAAATTAAACTCCCCCCTCCTTTTTCGTGTTGCTTGTTGTTGAGAGCATATGCTGCTGCTGCATTTCAGAGGGTAGCTTTGCTCTCGGTATCCCGCGGCTCCTCCAGCCAGAGAGACACCATACTGGCTCTCATTCGGTGAGAAGAGGGTGTAAAGATGAAGTGGAAGGTGAGAACTGTAGAGGTCAACAAGCAGGTTGCCCTCCTGAAAGACCTCGGCTAACAGCGTCGTCCAGCTCACATCTCAGCAGGCTGCTGCTGCTGTGGTGCAGACATGAAAAGGTGACATGCAGGTCGGCGGATGGTTGATCTGCTGCTTTGTTTGTATTCTATAGCTAAAGCTGTCTTTGTCCTTCAGTAAATCCTGGAACAAACAGCAGAGGCAGCTAAATTATGAAGGGAAGAACAGTTTTATAGCTGCTGAGTTTATTCAGCCTCATTCATAGAGTGAAAACAGGAACTTTCTCCCACTAAAACAATCTCATCCATTCAATATTAAAATGATGTTAGAGCATCAGAAAGAGGCTCCACTTAGCTAAGATAATTTTGATTAGGAAATAAATTGGCTTTGAGGACTAAAGGGAGAAATCTGGAGCTCTAAAGGTTTGAGATGTTTAGTGAGGCTTTAGAAATGACTCCATACAAAGAAGATTCTCCATAGTTTGTAGAGCTGCCTGATCACAAGAACTGCCTCAGCTGACTCATTTCAATGGGGAGGATCAGCATCTCTGCTCCTAGCCTGAAAGTCAGAAGTCCTCTGCTAACTCCAAGGCCCTTTCTGGCCACCAGCATGTCCTAATATGCTGCTTTATGTTGATGCTCTGTTAGTAAATGTACATGGTAGGCCTCCATCTATGTTCAGTGTTGGGCGCGTTACTTTGAAAAAGTAATTAGTTATACCGTAAAAGTAAAAAAAAACAATCCACTGGACTTGGTTTCCAAGATTTGAAGACGTTTCGCTACCTCTCCAGGAAGCTTTCTCAATTCATATGTCTGTCTAATTAGTTATACGTAGTTACTAGTTACTTCTCCCAAAAAGTAACTGAGTTACCAACTGAGTTACACCACCATAAAAGTAACTAGTTACTAGTAAAAGTAACTATTGCGTTACTTTTGCGTTTCTCGCCCCCGTAACCTTCATCACCCGGCCCCCACCTTCTCGCTGTGTGTTTCCAAAGCCAGCTGAATAGAGTGGATGACAAAGACAAGAACCTGCAGAGAGTTTTGCATTTATTGCAACTCAACAAAAATGACATCATTAACAGGGGGGGAACGGTATCTGATGGGCTTCTAAACCCCGTCACATAGCGTTCCCCTCTTGTTAACATTGGGGATCGGTATCTGATGCGGTGTAAATATCCTCAGGCTCCATTACCTCTAGTCATTGGGTGTGCAGTTTTTTAACAGGACGTTCAGATCTGACGAGTATATGAAATTAATAACTGGGGATGTCTAATTCTGACATCCTGTGTGTTTGGGTTGTTATAGATACTGCAACATCTATCTATCAATCTATCTATCTATCCATCCCGATTTCTCCCTTTCTCCATATAGGCTAACATTTGATTGTTCACGCTCTCCGTTCGACTGTGGCGCGAGCACAGGGCGACTGTTGCGCGCCTTTAGCGAGCATGCGCGCTCTCTTTCATGAGAAGGCGCACACGAGTCCTATCATGAAAAAAAGGCTACTTGTGCGACCTGAGTAACGCGCTGTAACGGGTAGTCGGCAATGGCAACTGCGTTATAGTTACAGTCAAAGTAATTAGTTAGATTACTTGTTACTAAAAAAGGTAATGGTTTAATAAAGCCGTTACTTTCAACGCCGTTACTCCCATCACTGTCTATCATGCCCTCTAAGCTTAAAGATGCCTGTGTGAGTGCTGCTAGACAGACAGCTGTCATCATCTTTCTATGAGGGCAGCTTCCCTAAAGAAAATAGACCAGTTTAGTAACAACCATCGCAGACCTGGGATCAGATAGAGCATCAAACAGTGGCAGCAGGGACCCAAATCAGATGGATCAGATCTTCCAGGGGGAAAGGAGCATCCAGCCTGTCAGCAGCCAGTCATGCAGCAAGGTTCTGCTGTGGTAGGAGGTTGGATCATCTTTTCTACCCTGATGGTAACATTGGTAGATGTTACCATAGACATGGTAGAAGTCTGGTAGATATTAAGAAGACCTTCCTTTGCCTTCAGGACCTGATTTTGAAGAAGCACATCCCAAAGGCAGGGCTGAGTAGGACCGGGTTAAAATACTGGATTGGTCTGTCTACAGTCCTTTACAGGCCAGGTTCTGTTGGACACCTCAGGATGTTTTTGCTGGAACAATGGAACATAATAACAGTCAGAACTCTCTCAATATTTTTGGATCTCTATTGCAGGAATCAACTGCTTGAAGATGGAATCATTTATTCAGAAAAGCTCTGCAAACTCCAGGTGTGAACAACATGATCTGCAACTTCCAGTCCAGCACAGTGATTCATCTCCTTCCTCTGATGATTTTTGCTCGGTTCAGTCAGACCAAAAGTAGCAGCAGTTCTGAAAGTTGATCTGGGGAAAGATTCCTATCCACACCTTCGGCTCCTCCCCGTCCCCATCTCTTTTTTATCCTCTGTGTTTGAGACACTGAGCTGCCAGGTTCACAGCCCCTATGTGCACGCAGCAGATAGCAGCCCGCCATTTTTTTATGTATTTGTCTTAAAACACGATTAAAAGCTTCCAGGTTGGAAATGCTCCTGCTGACAGAAAGCAGAGCTAATCGTTCC